CTCCTGTGCTCGGCTAAAGAGTTCAGCTCTTCTTGTGCTTTGACTGGTTTGTTTCCTTCACTGAAAGACTCATCCAGCTGTTTTACATTAGCATTAGTGACACATGCATGCTTATAGGAGACTGACCAATCAACACACAGCAAGAACTCGGTGCTCAAGTGAAATCCAAGTCCGTTTAATTGAAATGGTAATTTACAATTCCTGTCCTAGCTCAGAGTGTCCTCCCTGACATGGATTATCTGGTCACCCTAGGGTCATGACAATAATTAAATAACCAGTATAATAAAGGCACGTAAATAACAATATGTCTTAACATGAAAATTATGAATTTCGGACAGAATATAGAGCCATTTTACAGTAGTGGAGAATGCGGACGACCGCAACATGGCTTATTCCTCTGATCAGGAATGACATGCAGTGATGATATTCATTCTGCGCATGCTTAGTTAACCCCTCAAACTTTTTGGAAGAAACCAGCACATGCGACTATTTTTTTCTGCAAAAAATACTTTTCAAGGTAAAAAAAAAAAAAAGAAATTTTTTATTATCAGAATCTTCGCCATACTGTCTAAACTGCATGAATCACTGTAAAGTCATGTTATTTTAATCAGTGTTTCTTAGCTTCTAACAGGCATAGCTAGCATGTGTCAAAGCTATTGTGTCAAGCTAACATAGCACGTTTTATCGTGGATGTCAGTGTACGTACAGTTGCAACATGCTGTTGCAGTGACGGAGGAACTATAGTTATGATTGTCATAACTGCGAGTCTGATGTGGACAGATTTCCCTCTCTTTCTCTCTGTCACACACATAAGCTACGTCACATGCACATACAGACACACATACACAATTAATGGCTCACCTGCGTATCCAGACGCACACTTAAAAAAACTTAACAACATTCACTTAAACACACACACAGTTCAGTTTAGTAAGCTTTCACAGAAGTTCACAGAAGTATTACTAAATTCCAGTGTCTTGATTTTTTATGTAAATATATTTTGTAGCGTATTGTTATAAATTATACAACAATATATAACTTATAATTAACCAAAACATGCTTGTAACTTTTCACTCAAAATGTTATTAGTCTGTATTTATAGCTACAGCTATTTAGTGACGATCCAGACTGTGCATAAATCATTTTAAATAGAAATAGCATAATAATTTTATAAAGAAATAGCAAAAATAATTATTTTATTACATCCCCTGTTATGGGGTCAGTTACGGCAACATTTAACTTTGTCTATTCAATGTAAATTGTATACGTATACGCTCATATACACGTTATAGCGTTGTGGGTGGATAGGTGGCAGATGTAGGTTTAATGTAGTCTATTCAAATTTTGTCTTTCCAATACAAGCAGTCTGAGAAAGTGTCGCCACCGTCGTCACTCTCCATTACTGTTTGGGGCGTTTCCACCTTTTTTTGTGTACCGCCTAGTTTCCACGCGACTGAAGAATTAGGTGTCATTTGAAGTTTTGTTCCCTGTGGTTCACTTCCTGCACTAGAAACCGCAGGGGTTGTGATAGCGAGCATGACCGTTTTGACCGACTTTTGAAAAACTTTTCATACAATTTGACTTGAGACAATGAGAATAATCAAAGTCCTCGTTAGACGTGGTCTGTATTCTCACCGTCATGTGACTTTCGTTTGCAGCGTTGCTGTCTTCGGAGTAACAAGTTTTGGTTTGATGGCCAGTATTTATTATGGGTACTACGATCCGATTAATTTGTTATCCAGTGTTGATGATTCCATACGGGGACAGTTCAGGTAATTATATCTTAGTTGTTTTCACTTTCATATGCGAATGTGCTTTTCGCATCAAATAGGTCCTATTTCTTAAACTAGGCTACATGTACGGTGTTAATATTTTTGTAGTCCTCGTTGCTAAATCTGACCCGTGTAGATAAGTTTATATACTTGTACTTAATGCTGTTACGTGTGTGCATCATCATTTACTTCCCTGGATTTTAAAGTGTAAGCCTATACACCAGAATTGCTTAAACCTTGTCCCGATATATTCTGAAGTAGTTACATATTTCATGGACCACAGTTTCAGTTGATTTATTTCTGACTGATTTCAAGGACTGTGTTGTGTTGCAATTAAATTGTTCATTAGAGAACCTTCGGTTTATTTTACACACTCTAACTCTGACAAATAATTCCTTGTACTTTCAGTCGCTATGCAGGTTAGTTACAACTAGAAACTTGTTCAGTATTGGTTCCTAAGTCATGCTTTTTAAGTAGACATACTTGTTTTTCACTAATCCGAAGTTCTGTTATTTATAGTTTAAACCTTTCTTTTAAACTTCGTGTACGTTTCAGACGCTGGTCACCTGCAGGATACCAGAATATCCACAGCAGGTTGAATACGGCGCTCCATAAGAAGGAGGTAGGCGGGGATTACTCCTGGGAAGGGGCTTGTATCTGGACATTCGATCACTGGAAGCTCAATCTAACTGCACTCATCAGTAGTTGACTCGTAGCTGTAGGTGTTAGTGTTTGTAATGTGCTTTTTAAATTACAGTGGTACCTTGGAACACGAACTTAATTCGTTCCAGAAGGCTGGTCAAGTTGCGATTTGGGCGAGTTCCAAGTCGAATTTCCCCATAAGAAATAATGTAAATAAATTTAATCCGTTCCTGACTCGCAAATGATTTAAACTTAACTACCTACCTAACTAATGATAAAAAGCATATAAACACACATAAAAAAGCACAGATACAAAAGCGATAAACATGAAATAAATGACAATCCACCACCACCTTCAAGTCTCAATATAATTGTCTTTTTATGTTCTAGTTACTCTCACTATGTTCCTCTTTGGTTTGCTGCTATCACTGTTCACTTTCTTTGCCATAATTACTGTGTCACTAAATGTATTATAGATAAAAACCAAAAAATTCACACTGAACACAAGAATACAGCTTTCGCACGTCAAACTCGGTTTAGACGTACCGTGAGACAGAGCAATTCATAGGCATCAGGATCCCAGTAGGTCCGTTTGCCTTTGTGTCAGCCCATCAGAGACGCATCTCGATCTGTACGGGTTTTAGCAGGTCTGTTTTGTTTTGTCGTGTTTCTGAGTTTTCGGTCGAGTTGCAGCTAGATTTTTCTCAGCCACCGCGTCCGAGGCCCGGATTGGTGGAGCTGAAATGCCTCTTGACTCATGCAAGTTTTAGTAAGAACAGCTGAGTTCCAAGATTCAGGTTGAGGTACAAGTCGAAAAAAAATTCAACAGACCCATTCGATGTGCCAAGTTGGTCGAGTTCAGAGGCGTTTGAGTTCAAAGATTCTACTGTATTATTATTATTATTATTATTATTATTATTATTATTATTAATGAATCTGTTTATGGGTTTTGTGGTCTGGAGGACAGTATATGTGAACGTATAAGGTATATTATGTTGGGCTTAGGTCTGTCTGCAGCTGACGTGACAAGAGCATCTGGCTGCGGCTGCAGGGTGGAGTATAAACTGACTGCAGCCAAGTCGGACAACTTCTACTCCTCATAGTGTGCGAGACCTGACTGCAATGGCAGCACTGCCAGAAGAGTGTAGATAAATCTATACAAATATCACCTGCATGCACATTACTTCTTTTCCAATAACCAACTCCTGATCCAAACTGTTAGCAGTGGAAAAAAATAAACTATTGTGTATAGTGGCCCTGTGTAAAAAGATAGCTGCCAGGAAAAAGATCAAATACATGTATTTCAAGGAATCAAAGTTTTTATTGTCATGTACTGAGTACAATGCAATCCTTACTTGAATGCCTTCTAATTATAGATTATAACTAAGTTACTGGATGATTAAACAAATAAAGCAGCGCAACATTACAGTAACTAACAATAAATAAACCACTAACTTACATGTACTATTAGAGCATTTATGTAATTTATTTAAACTTTATTTTACCAGGTAAATTAACTGAAAACCAGTTCTCATTGCTTTACGTGATATTCGGGAGAAATGGCAGATAACGCCTTGGAACTGCCTGGGATACAAACGTCTGGACCAGAATGCATTGCTGTTGTACATGAAGTCGAACGCAGCCACAGATTCGATTGCTTAGCCTTGGCATCCCGGATGTATAACTCGTATTTTTAACCTCGTATTTTTGCATGTGAATTCGGACCATCGAATTTCCGATGCATATTTCCAATGCATAAATATTCAATGTTAGAATTTCAGTGGCATATAAAATTCTAATTGTGATGACACAGATTTCCTTCCATAGTTGTCTAGTTTTTGAATACCCAAATAGCCGGTGGGGGGCCATTGGGGTGGGAGTAGAGGGCGAACTGCATACTGCCCACTAACAAAGGCGTAATGAAAATACCCACTGCAGGAGAGGACTAACTTCTCTGGGGGCCCTAGGGTAGCTATTTTTTGGTAGCCAAAAGAGAAGCGACAGGAATTAAAAACAATATAACATCGGTAATATGGTAATCAAAGCGTCGCGTGCCAGCGGTAAAACTTAGCAATCAGGGTAGGGGCGGGAGTGCTGTCAGTAAAATACACCGATTGAGGGGGGGATGTATCGCACCGGTGGATCGATCAGCCAAATTTAAGATTTATTATTATAGATTATAATATGTGCTCATTCATCCAACTTCTACAACCATTTTTCCTATTCAGGGTTGTGTGGAATGTGGAGTCTCTAGGCACAAGGCAAGGAACAACCCAGGAGCAGCAGCCAACCCATGGCACGGCACACTCACACCTACAGGCGATTTGGTAACTCCAATTAACCTCAGCACGGCACACTCACACCTACAGGCGGTTTGGTAACTCCAATTAACCTCAGCACGGCACACTCACACCTACAGGCGGTTTGGTA